CATTCACGTAGCAATCTCAGATATCTTCCCTCGAATCACCCTTCACCTCATGGCTGAAGAGAGATACGCGGTGTGTTCTACAAGCAGAGAAGAAAGCTAGGTCTACATGGCGACTCTCAAAGGGTCATACTGACTACGAAGCATATCTGGAACTCATGAACCGATTTAACACCAGGATAAGGTGTGAAGGGGAGTCATTTCAAGTGAACATTGCCAGGAAACTCCCGGCAAACTCCAAAAGCCTTCACCGATCCGTGTTGGAGAAAAAGCCTGCCACCTGTGGAGCATGTGTCTTAGTAGGTCCAAACCGTTAATATCTCACTCATTTGGAAATGGCAGAAATAATCCATTCAGCCTCTGATAGACAGTCAGACGTTAATGTGGGTGTTCTCGGTATAGGCAATAAAGACCTCGCTGCTATTTTACGGAGAGAAGACCCAGTGGGTGCGCTCCAAACAAACCCCACAATGATACTAAGAAAGCTACAGAAATTCACATCAGGGATGTTCGCAGTCTGTGAGGACATCCGGCTATCTGTTCCAAGCATTGATCTGAAGCTGCCTGAAAGCCCTTATATAACCTGTTCCTACACTCTTCAGGTTCAGGTAAACCGCCAAGGGGGTTTAAGAGAACCACTCTTCCTCCTATTTTCAAGAGAGAGGACCAGCGATATGTCACCAGTTATAGACCAGTAGAATTACTGGCAAAGTTAAACTCTAGACACCACTAACAACCAATCAGCAAACTACCTTGAACGGACCAGTTAGATTAAAGAGGCATATATGATGAATGGAAATGTATATTTGTAGAAAAAAGCATAAAATAGAGAATAAAAAAGTTACATGGGATATCTTTCTCGAACATGTGAGAGAAACATCTCCAGTTTAGCATGGGACTGCCAATGGAAAAGTTACACCATATCCTGTACATATATTCATCCAAATGACCATAAATGAGATCCTTTTGAGATCCATTTATAGCCATTATCCTATTTTTCAACCTGCCCCAAAATCCTTCAATGGAATTTGTTTGTGTCCTCGTAACGGGATCCACAAAATCACTTGAATGGTTGACTCTATGATGAACATATCCCAGAGATGACAGTGAATTGTAGCCTTTCCACTCGTCGGTGTGTATAATTGACCCCCGCTCAACAAGTCTGGTAATAATAGGTATAAGAGTAGTTGCTTTTCTATCTGCTATCCTTAGGGAGAGAAGCGACCCAGCGAGAAAAGTTCCTACGAAATATTAAAATTATCAGCTTACTCTCTCTAGCGTTAGTGGCTTCAAACATATAGCACAACGATGAACAAGCCCATCATTTGATTTGGTATGGCTTTTTAAAGTCGTGATACCACCACACAATCAAATTCGCTATTTCCGGCGCAACTCAAATCCAGGAAATACTGGAAAACGCTAACCTCCTCGAATTGCAACAATAGCTTTGTAAGGTCACGCATTAGAAATGAATCAAGCGCTATAAAACATTGAACTGCGTTCGTGAACCTCATTGGATAATTCGATATCGTTCGTGAATCTGATTGGATAATTCCCTGATTGGTAGTTAGTGGTGTCGAAAGTTTAACTTCGCCGAATTACTCACAGTGGTATCAAAAGCACTCGAAAACCTGACTGATCCCATCAGGCAACACCACGACAGGAATGACATACTCCATGAAGCACAACATGGTTTTGGAAGGCGTGGATCCCATGTGGCAAACCTACTATCAGCTTGGAATGACTGAACATCATGATGGGATATGAATGCTGCAGTCCATGTGATCCTCCTAGACTTTGTGAAGGCATCTGACACAGTTCACCATGACCTCCTATCCAAAACAAATCAGGCAGGTATAAGTGGGCCGCTCCTGTCATGGCTGGAGGACTACATAGGCGGAAGAAATCTCTGCATTAAGATCAGTTATGTCCGATCATCCTGGCAAAGCTCGTAGTCAGGAGCAACATAGGGTCCTATCCCAGGGCCACGGACATCTTCATTTTTTATAAGTGAACTGTCATGGCGTCTAAACTACCCGGCTCTTCCTTGGGCTGACGACGTAGGGAATTGGGGGGCAGTAAAGTGCTTAGAAGATTCTGATAAGCTACGATTTCCGGAGGGCTGGGCGATGGTTAGTGGTACGCCTTTGTGCCTGAAAAGATGCAAAGGTGTGCAACCAAACACCTGTAGGCTGCAAAATGTAAGCTGTTTCGCGTGTAACGATAACGTATGCAGCACAAAGTCAGAGCGCGACTTAGACATAGTTCCGACGGAGAAACTGGACACAAAAGAGAATAACACGGACGATATAGATTGGACGTAGGTGGTTATATAATTGACACCCAGATAGCTAGGTGCGCTCACACTTGATCTCATTTTAAAGTTGTGCAAAACTTACGTAAGACTACACATTGAAGTGCATATTATCATTGTTCTCCGCCACTTAGAAGAGATGCTATCCTTCGAGGAAGATTTCAAAGACGGGAGAAGTTAGGGGTGATGAGTCTCCGAAATAAAACATATGATGAACGGACGAAGAAAATAGGTCTTTTCACACCCACCTGCCGTCGGCTTAGAGGGAACTTAATCACTGTTTACAAGATCACTAACAACCAGAATCATCCGAACAAATTATTCCGCCATCAGGTAGATACGGGATTCCTCGTGTCAATCCATGAAGGTTACATCACCGAGGAGCAAAAACTTGAGTGCGCTCCCTTTTCTCTTCATTTCGAGTTTGCCGCCTTTGGAACTCTTTACCGGCAGATACAGCTACTGCGCCGTCTGTGGAAACCTTTAAGCGGAGACTGGACGATCATGCAGCGATAAAAGGGCTGAGTGTCACCAACCTGTCCTCTTCTGCATTCTGAGTGGAACTTAGGGCTTCAAGCTTCAGCTACGAGGTTCAGTAGCAGAGGTATTTTCACGGGATGGGGTTGCTGGCCCCACACCCAACCTGCCCTCTTCGGTTACAGCCGGCAAGTGGAGATAAAGGTGGGCCCTGGCAGGGAGTCAAACTCCGGACCACAACCATGGTTGGCAAGAATTCTACAGCTGAACCACCGGCTCATCGCGTTAATACTCACACACTACTATTGGCTACACACCTGAACTCTTCTTTTCAATTCTTCACATTCTCCCTTGTCTTACTTTTCCAACTGCTCCATCTGTCAAGTCCCCTAAAATATTACAATTACTCCTGATTTCTATACCGATAGGTATCAAATTTCATTAGCTATCTGTTTTTGCGTTTTCCTCTTTTTAATTATATATAATCTAAACTAATTATGTCTATTATTAATGTTATCTCTCTTTTATACCATACCGCATGGTTAACGGGTGAAAGGATCAACTTCATGCACAGTAGCAACACGGTCTGAACACACCGCATACTACACATAACATGTAATCAACCCCAACTCCATTACTTTTGGAGTCAACCAAAGCTACGACAGTTGAGTGTCGCGATGAGCTACACAGAAATAAACCGAAGACCAGAAACCTTCACCTTACAGCCAAGAAGCGAGCAAAAAGAAATTAATTTGATTTACACTAGCTCGCAAAAGTGAATTGGATTTTGTATCAAATTTCTCACTCATGGGATATGAATGCTGCAGTCCATGTGATCCTCCTAGACTTTGTGAAGGCATCTGACACAGTTCACCATGACCTCCTATCCAAAACAAATCAGGCAGGTATAAGTGGGCCGCTCCTGTCATGGCTGGAGGACTACATAGGCGGAAGAAATCTCTGCATTAAGATCAGTTATGTCCGATCATCCTGGCAGTGGCCAGTGGCATGACTTTCAACTTGAAAAAGTGCAAAGTAGTGAAGTTGCGCACCTGTAGACTGCAGAATGCAAGTTACACCCTGTGCAATGAAAGCTTGTCCTGCACAACGTCGACTTAGGTCTAGTTCTAACGGAAAAAATGGACACAAGCGTAAATTACACAGGGGATGTAGCGAGGGCATATGCGGTCATACACTTTACGCATAGACAGTTAGGTGCACTCACTCCTGAGCTCTTTCTAATGTTGTACAAAACATACGTCAGGCCACACCTTGAGGTGCATAATATTATTGCACCCCCAATGCTGAGAAGAGATGCCAACCTCTTGGAAAGAGTCCAACGACGGGCAACAAAAGGAGTGGTTGGTCTCCGAAACAAACCATATGATGAAAGGCTGAAGAAATTAGGCCTGTTCACACTTAGTTACCGTCGGCTTAGGGGGGATTTGATTACTGCCTACAAAATAACAAATGACCAGAATCACCCAAACAAAGGTGTTCTGCCATTGAGTAGGTATAGGCTTCCACGTGGAAATCCCAGAAGGATAGCTCACCAGAGGGCAAGGACCCGGGTGCGCTCCCACTTCTTTTCACTGCGGGTTTGTCGTCCCTGGAATTCCTTACCGGCAGATGTAGCTATGGCACCGTCTTTGGACGCCTTTAAGCGAAGGCTGGACAACCATGCAGCGATACAAGGACTGCATCCAAATGGCCTATCTCCTTAAAATCGCATATACCAATCAGGGTAGATAATTAAACTCGTCGTTTTACTTCTTTACATTCTCTCCCGTCTTACTCTCCTGACAACTTATTAATATTATAATTACTATTATTATTATTACTATTACCGATATATATATTATTCTTCAAACTTAATGAGCTGACTGTTGTTACGTTTCCTATTTTCGTTTCTGTCTCTTAGTCTGAATAGCTTCACTAATTATATCTATTATTATTATTATTACTATTATTATTATTTTTACTATCTCTTTTCTCTTGTCGATGATACCGAAGGACTAACTGGCGAAAGGATCAACTCCAATCACAGTAGTAACAGTCTTAACATACCTCATACTACAAACCACATATAATTAATCCCAGCACTACTCCCTTTGGAGTCAACCAAAGCTACGACAGTCGAGTGGCGGGACAAGCTACGCAGAAGTTTACCGAAGATCAGGAACCTATACCTCACAATCAAGAAGCGAGCACAAAGAAATCAAATTGGTTTATACTAGCTCGTAAAAACGATATTGGATATTGGAAAAAAAAGAAAGGCGCCATTTACCGTCTTTTTTTCTACGTATGGCCTTCCTAAAGTTGTCAACCCACAGTGCTTTCAGGATTCACAGTTTCTGCCGAATTTCGGCTGCTTTTTTTCCTAGTTCTAAAAGATTCATCTGTTTAACCAAATCAACGCATACAGATTTGAACCCTATGAAACACATCCTGAAAGAAAATAATATACCTGAAGCTGATAAGAGACAGATAGAGAAGGAGGTCGAAGAAATGACAAAGGTAGGCTAAATTGTTTCATTTCTTCGAATTTTTAGGATTGGGTTTCGGCTGGTTATCATACGACAGACAAGGAAGAAGACAACTATCTACGTCAACTTGTACCATTCATACTTTTCACACTTTTTCTATGTCCACTAGCATTACTTATATATTATACGCCAGACCGAAAGTAAGTGTTCCAAAACATTTTCGATGGTTCTATGTCTCAGTCTCTTTGATGATTCATGCGGTATATGGTGTAGATACGTCTAAGCGAATATCCAGTAATATCGACACTAAAATTTTCATTTAGTCAATGTCATTTATCAGTTATCCGTCTAAAAATGTTATATATGTAGGTGCATAAACGGTTCCTCCGGTGAAAACGATTTGGTTAGACATTTTTACCAAATCGAATACAGGTCGGTTTACTGAGTATGCAGAAGTTTGACACTCCGGGATTTGCCATATATGACTAATTGGTTCGAGGCTTATATTCCTAAAATTCTAATTTAGATAAAAGCGACACCTTATTCGGTTGAATGCCGGTGATAATTTCTAATATTAAGTGAAGGCGGACAAGTAACTTCAAACGTATCACGATCTGTTATCTTGTGTCATAAATATATGCAACTTGTCCTAAACCCTAATTATACCTGCACTAATAAAGCCTTGAGCATTTATATTAATTCGGCCTACCACAAAAAAAGGCACAACTCAAGCTCCATTTTCTGGAAAAATGGTTTCAGAAGTGAAATATTCTTAATATATATATATTTGTCAGTTTATTTGTCCCAACAGTTTTTATGGTAAAGGTCCCAATAGTGTAAAAAATCTGGTCAAAAGTATCACTTAAGCAATATAAGCACATTATTGCAAGCCTGCATAAGATAGCCTGCTCGCTTACTAAAGATGCGATGATATAAAGTAATCTTATTTTGATTTGCTCTGTAATCACATTACTGCTGACAAATGCAGAGTCTTCTGAACACCTTGAGCAGCAATCTTCGTATGTTTGGCATGCGATTCGCCCCTGCAAAATGTAAGATGCTGCTACAGGACTGGACGACGTCAACCCCTAACTTAGTGATAGGGAGTGAAGTGATAGAACATGTTGACCACTTCACCTACTTGGGAAGTTGTATTAGCACCAACGGACTGATTGGCGATGAAATCTCAGCACGGATCCGAAAAGCTCGAGCTGCTTTCGCTGACTTACACCATCTCTGGCGTAGGCGTGACATCCGGTTATCAACCAAGGGACGTGTGTACTGCTCATCAGTTCGCTCCGTCCTTCTCTATGGCTCTGAAACATGGCCAATACGCGTTGAAGACATGAAAAGGTTGACTGCTTTCGATCATAGATGTCTGCGATCTCTGTCTCACGTTAGGTGGTTTCACAAGATAAGTAATGTTGACGTTAGGCGTAGAGTGTTAGGCAAAGAGGGAAAATCAATCGACGAGGTTATAAAGTTACATAGACTAAGATGGCTAGGTCACGTGGTGCGCATGCCTAACCACCGCCTCCCCCGACGGGCATTGTTAGCTGATATAGGTTCAGGTTGGAAAAGAGCCAGTGGTGGCCAAACAAAAACATGGCCTCATCAATCCATGAAATCCTTGACAGTTAAACTGAGTCAGGTAGGGAGATGCAGACTCCCGGGTTGGGGCCCTCGAGACTCTAGGAATCAATGGCTGGAGACAATAGGTGACATGGCTCAAAATCGTTGTCAATGGCGCACATGTATTCAATCTCTGTAATCTTTCATATTCCTTTCTACCATTACCCATACTGTTTCACTCCTATATTTGTCAAACTCTATTAATTCTCTCCACTCATCTTCTTGTCTACCTCTGTGTGCTATTTGGAACGTGGCAACTCGAACTGCTGCACTTCGGTGCCAAGTTCTATGTTGAATCCAGACAGACAGACATTACTAGTCACTCACGTAGTCTTCTGCACTACAAATGCAATGAAATTATGTGTACTGGTAGTGTTACTATATGGCAACAGCAGTTAACAGTATACCGAAAATACCTATTGATACATTCCAGAAAATGTAGAGTTCAGCAAAAACATCTTCTGAACAATTTAAGCATTATAAACCGCATTACCCGAATTTTCTTTTACATTTTTTCTCCTGTAAGATAGCATACTAACAAGTGTTGTTTAGTGAAACTTGTTGAAAAATGTTGGAGACAAATGCAGGTAATAATTTTCTTAAATGATAAGTGTGATAGAAGGCATAGTTTGATCACAAAGTACATATTATCCAAAACAAATATGAAAAAGAGAAGACGTTCAGTGAAGAGACTCTTTTCGGCAGATTCATTCACATAGCTGTACAATCTCATTTATATATAATTATTTGTGTATATGTGTACATGAGGTTTGTCAAGTTTAGATAATTGACCAACTCCCAATTTCTAGTCATTTATGTTACGTCATCCAACTTATTTGCTCAATTTCAGTTCTAATTTAAATGGCATTATTCTCTACCCCACCTCTACTTAGTCTCTACCTGTAATTACCTCTGTTGCTACTCTGTTCTAAGTTGAAACATTTTGGTTAATTGTATTACATCATCTAACTTACTAACTCAATCTTACTTTAGTTGCCGTCTGAATAACCTTGTTTCTATGTTAGATCATTGCTGTGTTACCTGATCGATTATCTAAACTTGACAAACCTCATGTACACACACACACAAATAATTATATATAAATGCGATTGTACAGCTATGTGAATGCATTCGCTGAAAAGAGTGTCTTCGCTGAACGTCTTCTCTTTTTCATATGACTCAATGGGGATTTTAAAGCTACTTGAATCAAACATCCTGGATTAGACCAAATCTTTATAATATGTAAAGTAATTTTCAAAAGTGTGGTTCACTCAAGGAGCACTTGGAAATGTAGTTAAAATATGGTTTTGCTGCTAAAACCGAAAACATAAAGTAAATGTGAAAATTAAGACAAGACTATGGTGAACTTAGAAGTTGAACAACTCATTTAGGATATTAAGACATTTGTTGTGTAGTTCCGATCGGACCACGTCATCCTCCTGGCTATATGACTAGGTGGGGTTCTTGAACTGCTTCTAAACAAATAGGACATTCTACATACTTATTTCTGTATATGCGGTTGGATTGAGACAGGCACGTTATTGTTCGTATTTGGCAGTTTATCCTTCATTCTGCTTTAGAGCAATAGAAAATGTCTTTCCTAAAGTCTACGTCAGTCAGTATCCAACACAAACTCTTCCGTAAAGTCCAAGTTCATGTACAGTATCTTTGTGGTAGCTGAAGTGTGTCTCTCTTTGAGCCTTTTGTATTTTGTATTGACTACTTGGTGGGTGAGTGCAAGGCATACTCTCCAGTCACCTTCGACTTCTAACAGTGACTTAACTCTTTCAACTAAGACTTAACATAGTCTATTTATTCCTCAGATAGTGACTCTATCTTGCGCAACTGGTAACACAAAGGAAACGGTACACAACTAACTTGTATCTTTCAAAAGCTTGGTTATGTTTCATAACCATATGTTGTCGCATAACTCACTGCTTCTAAGCTCCCTCAAATGGGTCGTTGTAGGGTGATTAATCATTCCTAATGCACTTGATTGGGTTCTGGTGACTCATTTGTTTACAGTTGCTAACCTGATCTCTGTGGGGAAGTGTTAACTTCATGACTGATTTAGAAAAAAAATTGAGAAAAGAATATCCTTTTCGATAATTCCCTCTTCTCTCTCTCTCTCTCTCTCTCTCTATATATATATATATATATATATATATATATATATATAAACAATATTGGTGTTTTTAAATAGTATCCATTTGTCAAGTAAGGTCAGTGACATTACAGTTCATTAAAGATGCTTAAGTCATAATAAGGATAAAAATGGAATATCAAATAAAATTGAGGAAATTTCCATAACAAATTCAGGATCATTAAAACTTTGACGGCTAAGGTAAAGACAGTGTCTTAATCAGCTTATTTTGGATACATAATTTAGGTTTCTTAACTTAGATCCCAACGGCCTCAGCAATATGTAGCAGACGAACTCTTGAGGTAAAATAATTAAGATTAGTCTGTATACGGCAGATGACTTAAATAGCCTTGTCAAGATCAATCTTGTGTTCTGTATCCATGAGGTGAGATAAAACAGAGCTGTATGAATGGATTTTGTTTGCCCTTTATTTAACCACGCAGGATGATATTCGGAAATTCGACGATAAACACGCCTAATTGTAAAGCCTATGTAACTGGCGCCACAGGAGCAGTCAAACTGGTAGATACATATAGAAGAAGCGAGATTAGGCAGTTGATCTTTAACTCCCGAACCCAAATTAAGGGTGGTTTTGAAGATACAATACTGAATGCTCATTTTACCACCGTATTCCTTGGGCCTTGTGTTATTATCTCGCTGATGTTATCCTCGAGGAGCTGAATTCGGAACTGTCGGTACTTGAATCTACCTTGACTTTTGATTTATATTCTTATCGATATTTCTCTGGGTAAGCGTTTTCATGTAGGAAATGTTTAATACTTTTTTTGTCTGAATGAATATTTTCGTTATGTTGAAATCTCATGACTGATTGTTTGGACATTCGTCGTCATGACACACGAACATGGTACCGGCACAGATAAGGTGTACACATTCGTTCCATTTTTTTAACGCTTCGTTATTTTCATATTGTCTAGATTTCTACTCATATTTTTCTTTAGTCTGTCGTAATTTTACTTCGTTGCCGTGCAGAATATCCTGAACTGATTGTCTGTAATATGAGTTTTTTTAATATTCACTTTTTCACCTCGGTATATATATCTCAATAGGACTTTCTTCCTCTGGCAACTTTTGTTACTGTACATACTTGGAAGTATGCATATCCGTTCATATTGCATCATTTAGCTTGGCCATGGTTGCCAGTGTTACATATTATACTCTGTCAAAGAAACAGTGTGATAAATGACATCGGTATTTGTATTAATTTATTACTCATTGCATATTATAGATCCCTAGGTGTTCACTCAGGTGGTTTGTTTAATTTATCCTAAAATACTGCCTTTCACGATATGCATCTGCATGCTTATTTTGTAACTTTTAATGATTTTAAAGTCCCTATGTGCGTCGGTGGCACAGTGGGTAGGACTCTCGCCGACCATGCACATGGTCCGAGGTTCGATCCCCTGCCGACTCACACCTGATATCTATGGTCGGCCTGCAAAATTTGGGCTACCGATATCCATGCCAAAAATTCCATACTTGTACCAAAAATACAGTGTGGAATCAAGCTGTAATCAAATATTAAAATCATTATTGGATCTCGTAAAGTCAATTCACTTTCCTTTTATTTAAAAAAAATCCAATACCCCCGTTTATTTTCCAGTTATTCTGAATGGTCGTGGAGAGAAGCATTTTTAGAAATTGAAAGACGTAAAAGAGATGGTTTACCTCTTGTGGATAAAGATCTTATTCCAGCCTCTCAAGTGAAACTACCTACAGATGAAGAGCTTGGATCTGATTTCAAGATTATTATATAGGCTAGAATAATTCTCACCGGCGGCTACTGCGGCGGCAGAGGGGAGATTCTTACATTCTTTAATAAATTAGTTCATTACTCCTTTACTTGTTATTTTATCTGTCAGTGTACATAATTGGACAATAGAATTGAAATAAGACTTCATGTGTTTTGTTTTGTTTCATGGCGAAATTTATTACCCGGCTATCGATCAAAAGAAGTGTGAACTTTGCAATAATCTTATTGCTGTGCTAGTAGGTGACCATTGAAATTGAGAAATATAAAAAAAGAATTGTTACCTTTGATCATTCTAAGCAACAAGGCAACCTCGTGAAATGCATATCCATATACCGAACGTACTTGTGCAAATATCATATTTAGTTATGAACTACTATAGTGGCATAATAAATAGCTCGGTAGATTATATGTGTAAAATGGAAATGTTAAAATAAAATAAATAGTGATAGTAGCGATAGTCATAATATTAATGACGACACCAACAATAAGGAATCTAAATCATCAACAGTAATTCCATACAAGGAAGGAACCTCGGAGACCTTACTCAGACTTCCTAACAAGGCAGGAACAAAAGTGGCTGGCATTGAATCACCCATAAACTCAATTGGAAACAAGCTTTGTCGGTTAAAGGATCCTGTGGAGCCTTTAAAACAAAACAATTTAGTTTATCTAATACCCTACCTGCAATGATTCTCAGGTCAAATACATAGGTCAAACTAGTAGAACAGGGGCAGTCAGACTAGCTGAACACAAAAACCTAGCAAAATCTAGATTGGTTGACATAAATAAGATAAGAAATCTAGAGATTAGTTCAGCTATAGCACTACATGCAGCTACATACAACCATACAATAGGATGGGATAGGATGACAGTTTTAAAATCTAATGTCACAGGATATAGGGAGAGATTGATAACAGAAGCTTTGTTTATCGAATCAACTGCAAATACATGCAATAGGAATGATTCATCACCTGTCCCTGATATCTTGAAAATTCTACTACCCCTACGACAAATAGAAGAAAACTATAAAACTCAAGTTTCAAAGTCGTGTGATTACAATTGATGATTATGAACAATAAATTTTGTTCGAACCGTCATCCAGTAAATAATACTGTTTCACTGTGTGATATGTCTAATAAACAAACTAATATGTATTAGCTCGGTAGAATCTAATAAGAATGCCTTCTAGCTAAACATGATGTCATTTCATTTTAGGGTATAAAAGTGACCCAAATTCTACGTAAGATTTCATTCGTGAGATGGAATTAACAATAAGATCAGTAGATCGGTAAAAGTAAAGTGTACTTTAACACTTAAATGACAAAAATAAAACGAAATTCAGTAAAGCCAAAATCGGGATTTGTGTGTTATTTTTATAAGGGATCAGAAATGTAGTAATTAGGATATCAGATAATACTGACTACTGAAAAAACAATATTCTTTTCGATAACTTCCTCTTCATTAGGTTTAACAGTTACATATCCATCCAAAATAATGGAAGAATTAGGGTTATTAACAACATTAATGTTGTTTAAATAATATTAACTCAATCGATAATATTAACAGATTACAGTTCAGTTTGATTGGACACTAATAACTGTGAGGGGAGTGGCAAGGAAGTACATTGCACTAATCAAGACACTCTGTTCAAACTCACGTGGTCGTGTAGGGGCCTATGGGGAATTGTAATCTGAATTGATAACAACCAGTGGTGTCCGGAAGGGATGCCCACTTTCCCCATTTCTGTTTAACTTCATCATAGATATGCTAATGAAAGTATCCTTAACTGAACGTAACGACTTTGGAATCGACTTGTTACCAGGGAATAGTCTTATGAACTTAGAATATGCAGATGACATAGTCCTGTTAGGGGAGGATTCTGACAAAATTCAGAGTCTTCTGGACACCTTGAGCAGCAATCTCCGTATGTTTGGCGTGCCATTCGCCCCTGCAAAATGTAAGATGCTGCTACAGGACTGGACTACGTCAACTCAGCTTAGTGATAGGGAGTGAAGTGATAGAACATGTTGACCACTTCACCTACTTGGGAAGTTGTATCAGCACCAACGGACTGAATGGCGACGAAATCTCAGCACGAGTCCAGAAAGCTCGAGCTGCTTTCGCCGACTTACACCATCTCTGGCGTAGGCGTGACATCCGACTATCAACCAAGGGACGTGTGTACTGCTCATCAGTTCGCTCCGTCCTTCTCTATGGCTCTGAAACATGGCCAATACGAGTTGAAGACATGAGAAGGTTGACTGCCTTCGATCATAGATGTCTGCGATCTCTTTCTCACGTTAGGTGGTTTAATAAGGTAAGTAATGTTGACGTTAGTCGAAGAGTGTTGGGCAAAGAGGGAAAATCGATCGACGACGAGGCTATAAAGTTACATAGATTGAGATGGCTAGGTCACGTGCTGCGCATGCCTAACCACCGCCTCCCCCGACGGGCATTGCTAGCTGATATAGGTGCAGGTTGGAAAAGGGTAAGTGGTGGCCAAACAAAAACATGGCCTCATCAATCCATGAAATCCTTGACAGTTAAACTGAGTCAGGTAGGGAGATGCAGACTCCTGGGTTGGGGGCCTCGGGACTCTAGGAATCAATGGCTGGAAACAATAGGCGACATGGCTCAAAATCGTTGTCAATGGCCAGCGCAGATGTAATCAGTCTCTGTAATCTTTCATATTCCTTTCTACCATTACCCATTCTGTTTCACTCTTATACTTGTCAAACTCTATTGATTCTCTTCACTCAACTTCTTGTATACCTTTGTGTGTTATTTGGAACGTAGCAACTCGAACTGCTGCACTTCGGTGCCAAGTTCTATGTTGAATCCAGACAGACACTATTAACTAGTGTTATGCGTCTAGCCCTTTCTTTGGTCTGGACTGAATTCTATCAGTCAGGTTTGCAATGTGGCCACCATTCTGGGTAGCTCGCCATCACCGTGCACATTGATTTGATGATGATGTTAGGTGGTTGGAGGCAGTTGGCAGGAAGTATCGCCTGAACTAGGTTTCGTGCTAGTTGGTACGCACCAGACAGTAAGGCGTATCTGCAACCTTGAAGGAACAACTCATGTCCCTTCTGAGATTCGAATCCGGGTCACCCAGTGCTACAGTCAGAGACGTTACCTTAGAGCTATTCGGGCTCAGTTCAATAGCATCCGTAGGCGTGATAATGTGCATCAACATAACACTGAATATCAGAAAAATTAGGAAAAATAATAATACAGTATCCATAAACTTATAAGCTCGATAGAAGGCCAGGGCAGTAGTAGTGGTTAGACCTGTTTCTTCTGCATACAGAGCACCACCGGCTGTTTTAGGTGGATCTCCATAGCTTCCACTGTTTCAGAGTCTATGGTACCTGGATGCTTTTGACAATTTATTTGGTACCCGATGGATGATGGTGAAGGATTCTGTAGTCGGTGTGGACTAGATAGCCTAATATTAAGTTGTTGGTGTTTTTCACTATAACTTTATTTAACCACACTTGTGGATGTTCCTGAGCACAAAAGATCAAGTTCCTAGAGCAACGATCAACATAACTCACTCCACAAGCACAGTTGAATTGATAGATGCAATTAGAGGTAGCTAGAGAAATCACAACCAGTCGTGTAGAAAATACGACTTTTAGTTTACCAGCATTAAAAGTTCTTTGAATAAATTTTCTTAACTTGCTAACAATTATTTCCCTAGGCACCTCACCACTGAACTGCAGCTGTACATATATAAAGCCTTCTTATTCACAGATAGAGGATAGCCCTTTTCTGCATTCTTGGCCATATGTTTCCTGATGAACTTTTCTGGATAACTATTTTCAACTAAGGTGTCATATACAATGCTAAGTTTATCTTCTGAGCACATAGCTCTGATCCTGTAGCTGAGGGTCCTTATTAAGTTGCTTTTGTACTAGAGAAGAACAAAGCTATGAAAATGTGTGTATTGTCCTTTCCATGTGCTTTTCCTATGCGAATTTCTCTTTATACTACCATCTGATTTTCTAGTAAGAAGGACATCTAAGAAGGCATTCCTCTTCACACGTGAAATTTATGACGAAGTGTACTTCACTGTCCGAATCATTTTCACAACAACAAAAATATGAAGGTATCATCTGTATGCCCGGTGATAAAATGAGAATTTTCTGATAAGATTGTTCGAAAAACCATCCTGTAGTTTGTTTAGAAAGAAATCTGCCAACATATGGGAGCCATTGCCACAATGTCCACTTGTCTGTAAAGTGTGCCATCAAATTTAAAATATACATTCATGATACACCTTAATAACAGTGCCTTTAGAATTTCTGTTGAGATGTCAATATTTATCGCCTTGTTGTACACTTGTTCAAATATACAGTTAACCGTTTCTGTAGAGATACGTTTGTGAAAAAAAAAAGATGTTATATCCAAAGATATAATAGTTTTATCCTTGATATTAATATCTTTGATTTTGTCTACGAATTCGAATACAACTCTAACGCCATTTTTCACTATCTGCTCATGCAAAGGTTTGAGAATAGTCACAAACCATCTAGCTCTGTGTGCAGAAGAAGCAAGTCCAGCGAGTACTACTGCCCTGGCTTTCTGTTGAGCCTATAGATTCATAAATTCTGTATTATTATTATTATTTTTCTTAATTTGTCTGATATTCAGTATAGTGTATTGTTATTTTGATGCTATCGATCTGTAGTCCATTGATATTATCGATTGATTCGATGTTATTTAAACAACATTAATGTTGATAATAACCCTAAATGATATAAGGATAAGATTTTGGACACTGTGGTTGAGTATAACTCCAATGTTGATAAGATTTTATTTTGATAAAGTCACATAGTGTTATACAGTAATATTTGCTGATGATGTTGCAGGCACAATTTATTGCCACTCATAATCATATAGAGGTACTCACATAACTCACTCAGAGATAAGCTCTGTAGGCTAAAGAACCTGATGAACCCAATTAAACAAAATACCTTGCAATTAATGTGAGTTAAGTGAAGTACATAGGTCAAACTAGTAGATCGGAGGTAGTGAGATTATCAGAATATAAGAATTTAGCTAAGGTTAGAATGACTGACCTCACGAAGATAAGTAATTTAGAAATACAAAAGTCAGCACTACACTTTACTGCATGCATT